AACCCTCAGTGTTGCCCCCGCACCGGACCGGGACCGGCAACAGGATCGCAACCCTCAGTGTCACTCCCGTGCCTCGCTCAGCCAGTGAGCAGGAACCGGTCTGTATGTGGGATCCGAACCCTCGGCGGGAGCGCTGCCACGCTTCCCAAGCGGCGCACTACAGCAGTGCGCCACCGGGCCGGCCCTATTCTCTGTCTTTTTTACTGGCCAGTCTAACTGGCGTGAGATGATATTTCAGTGTGATTTTTGATTTGCATTTCCCTGAGGCTGAGTGATGTTGAGCATTTTTTCGTGTGTCGGCCATTTGTATGTCTTCCTTTGAGAAATACCTATTTAGCTCCTTTGCCTATTTTTTAATTGGGTTACTTGTTTTTTACTGTTAAGTTGTCTGAGTTCCTTGTATGTTCAGGATATTAATATCTTGTTGGATGCATAGTTTGCAAATATTTTCTCCCATTCTGTAGGTTGTCTTTTTTGCTCTGTTAATTGTTTTTTTTTTTTGCTGTGCAGAAGCTTTTTAGTTTGATATAACCCCATTTGTTTATTTCTCCTTTTGTTGCCTGTGTTTTTGGCGTCTTGTTATAAATTCTTTGCCCAGTCCTACTTCCTGAAGTGTTTCCCATACTTTTTCTTTCAATAGTTTTATAGTTTCATGTTTTTTAAAATTTATTTTATTTTACAGGATTATCATCTGTATTTGTTCTATTTTACTCTTTTCATTTAAAGAATGTTGTCTTTTTCAAAGAAAGATAGCTACCTCTTTAAATTTATGCTTAAGACATATATCTATACTTGACTGGAGGTTTCAGAGGCTACTTTAATGCCAGCTGGCTAGTCTAAACCCTCTTATGTTAAATATGAACATTTTCCAAACACCATTTTCAAGTCATTTATCTCATTTATCTTCCTCCTTAAGAACTGCATAGGCTTGTTTTAAATATTTTAAATACCTGTAATAAACAGAGTTTGTTAAGAGTAGAGGTACTCTGGTTAATGATCAAAATGGTGTGGCCAGAGAAAAAGCAAGCATTATTAAATACAAATGCAATCCTTACCAACACAAATTGAAACTTTTTTTTCCTCAGTGAAAAAGCTGGTCTAAAAAAAGTTCTCATTCAATAAAGATTTATCATTTCCAAATCACAGTGAAAGGAACTGGAGAAATTACTAATTTTGTTTTCTACTATGTGCTTTAGAGATACCTCACTAAAAATTGGTATCTGACACAACAGAATGACATTTGTAGAATGTAATATTGTAGTGACAGTACTGAGGTTGACTGTTACAGACTATTAAACTCTTTGAGTATTAAATGGTTACATCTTAATTATTTATATAGAACACTGGTCCAATAACATAAAAATAGAGAACAGCAACTAGAAATTTATCTCATTCAGTGTTGGGAGATAAAAAGGTTAACCATTCTTTCCATTATTTTCTGCACATAAGTCCTTGTTCTCATTGAAATCTGATGGCAATTAAATTCTGGCACTTTTTTCCAAGCTACTGTATGAACAGGATGCTGAAGGCCATCACTACACAGCATACTGCAACACAAGGACTCTTCTGTTCACCAATTTTGGGGCACTTCCAAAATACACGTAGCAGTCCAGTTTTATTTCTGTCCAGGAGGGTTGGTGCCAAGGATCGGATATAAGCACAGGTACATATAAGCAGCAAGGGCCGGCCTGTGGCTCACTCGGGAGAGTGCGGTGCTGACATATAAGCAGCAAGATTACAGTCAACAGACTCTGAAAATTAAAAATGGCAGACATAGGTCGGCGATGGCCCAGCCACATCACCCTTCTGGGCCCAGGGCGGAAGAGGTGTGCATGCCCTGTCTGCCCGTCTCGCTCTCTCTGGTGTTTTATATATACATCTTTAATCCATTTTGAGATGATTTTGGTATATGGTGAGAGGTGCAGGTCTAGTTTCATTCTTTTACATGTGGATATCTAGTTTTCCCAGCATCATTTATTGAAGAAGCAATATTTGCCCCAATGTATGTTTTTGGTGCCTTTGTCAAAGATCAGTTGGTCATAAGTACGTGGGTTGATTTCTGGGTTCTCTATTCTGTTCCACTGGTCTGAATGTCTGTTTTTGTGCCAGTACTATGATGTTTTGGTTACTGTAGCTTTGTGATATATATATATATATTACGACTATTCATAAGATACAAAGCTGATTGTCCCCCCTCCTGCCCATGATGTGGGGGCCGGATTCATACTGGCTGTATACCCATTACCACAAATTACATTTGTACCCTGTGTCCCCAACTCAATTATCCCCCAACCTCCCTCCTCTTCTCCCTCTCCCCTCAACTACAATTTGTAGCCCTAGGAATGTTCCCTCCCTCTGTTGGATCATGGCACTGCTGTGGTCTTCCTTTCCTTCCTTTCTCTCTTAGCTCTCACATATGAGTGAGCACATGAGGTATTTATCCCTCTGTGCTTTGCTTGTTTCACTCAACATAAGTTTCTCCAGGTTCATCCATGTTGTTGCAAATGGGAGTATTTCA